CTTTTCTAATTTCCACTTTAAAATTTGATGAAAATCTGTTTCTCAGCCTTCCTTTTTCCTCCAATTCATGATCCTTTGTTTCAAAGGAGCCAGTTACACTGATCACATTTGTCCTTTATCATCTCCCAATCCTTAATTGTCCCATCTGGGTTTAGGAGATTTTATTTATTTATTTATTTACGACATTTATATGCCGTCCGTCTCACCTCAAAAGGGACTCAGAGTGGCTAACAAGATATATATACATACAATATACTATATTATTAGCATAGTACAATATCAGTATTAAATATTACTATATTGTATTATACCATTATATTGTAATTTTATTAGCAATATTGCATGTAATATAAATATATAATTATAACATCATATTATGAGTATTAGTATTATGTAGCATAACATTATAATATTATTAATATTATATGTATATACAATATATTATATTATATTATATTATATTATATTATATTATATTATATTATTAACATAGCACAGGAGACAAGGTGGAACTATCCCCTGGCCCCCTCTCTCTTCATTCTTATCAAGGTCGTTCCATTTTGTTTCAAATTTGTTATGACTTTGCCAAATATCTGTTCCTTTTTATTGTCTAGAAACCCTACTGGGAGTATATCTACTTTATTATTGGGAATTTACCTTGCCATTTTTTCTTTAATTTCTTTTAGAGTGTTATTATCCATCCATCCTTTTACGCACAAGCAATGATCCCATTCGTTTATTTTTTTTTTCAATTCTGGCCTATCTTCTTGAACCATCGAAATTTAATTCTATCAATCTTGTTAACTGGCAGGCCTCAAAATAATTTTGTAAATTAGGTGCCCCTCATCATCCATTTCCTTCTGGAGAGTGGTCCAGCACCTCCGTGTTCTCAAATAATATGCTGTATCCAAATAATATGCTGTGTTGGCTCACCAAGCACTTTGCCATGGCTGACCTCTCTCACCAAAGTAGTCTGCAGTGCCTTTCATGTTCCTCAACTCGTGCCTGGATGCTGCATTTGGTGGTCCCTATGTAGACCTGTCCACAGCTGCATGACACACAGTAGACTCCTTCAGAGATGGTTTAGTCAGTTTCTTCCCCTGAAACCTTTTGTCTCCTCATGGAGGTTGCTGTCCTGGGAGTGGGGTGAGTGGGTGGAACGATGTTTGGAATGCATCCATTGTTTTTTTTGGAAGCTTTGGTGAGTTCATTGGCTTGTTGCCTAAACCTGTGTTATAACTACAGAAGGGAGACCTTAAGAAACAGTGTGGGAAGCAGTCTAGAGCACAGGCAGCCAGCCTAGCAGCTTTGGGAAAACAAGAGTATAAGCTATCACACTCCCTCTTGCTTAGAAAACATCTTTTTCCTCTTGTTTTGAAAACATCTGAACCCTTCAGAATTTTGGACAAGCAATGAGACCTTGACCGTCAAATGTACATTGATTTCCCCCTCTTCTGTTTATCCATCCTTGACAAATATGCATGTTAGCTAGAATCCATATCTTGTGCAATTCTTGCTTTGAGAAGGATCCAGCGTGCATTAAAAAACAGACAAGAATATACTTGCATGGTCGCCATAAAAAATAATAATTGCCACTGCTGTGGCTAATCCATTTGTAGTGATTAAATATCAGTATGGGGAGAGGAAGCACAATACTCACATATTTCAGAATAAAACTACAGCTCCTTGAAGCACGAAGAGCAGCCATTTGCCCATAATGAAAATGATTATTAATATTTATGACTCATTGTGTCCCAATTCTTAAATGCCGTCTGCTTCCTCGGCTGTAGTTTGAAATGAATTCGTCACTCCTCAGTGTGCAGCAGAAATATCACAGAAACCTCTTGCTCCATTTGCATTTATTCATTGTGTGCTGAAAGTCCTCCAAATTCCAAAACTCTCCAGCCAGCATGGCCAGTGACCACACTAGTTGGGAGATTCTGGGATATGTAGTTGAAAAAGTAACATTTCCTAGCTCTGGCTTCACAGAGTGAAGGTTTACAGAAGATGTATTGCTGTTACATTCTGGAACTATGGATAAAGAAGTGGGGCAAGAATTAGAGGTACACGGAAATCCTAGAACTAGACAAAACAAAACCTGATTCAAGAGGTTTGGATGTCTGAGGCAAATGAGAAAAGTGGTGTCAGGGGTATTTACATCAATACTAAATAGTGTATTTCACACCGCTGGAAATGATGAGTATTTGGGGTTACATTACAGATTGTTGACCTTAGGAAGAGCAGTTTCAATATCTTCCACTTGAGGCAGTTGCCTTGCTTTGGTTAATCATAGGGCCAGTTCAAGACAGACTTACCCAACAATTCAGTACATTTCTTCCACTTGAACATCCATTGCTGTTTCTTCCAAAGGATTTGCCCCCAGTGGCACAATGGTTTTAACTCTTGTGCTGGCTGAACTGCTGAATGAAAGGTCAGCAGTTCAAATCTGGGAAGCAGGGTGAGCTCCTGTCTATCAGCTCCAGCTTCCCATGTGGGTACATGAGAGGAGCCTCCCACAGGATAATAAAAAATCCAGACGTCCCCTGAGCAACATCTTTGCAGACAGCCAAGTCTCTCACACTAGAAGAAACTTGCAGATTTTCAAGTCGCTCCTGACATGAAAATAAAAATTAATTGCACTGCTATTGTGCTACAGTTTTGGCCATGGTGGTTCACAGTTTTGGCCATGGTGGTCTACACTCTTGTTACATCCCTTCAATGTACTCTATGTGGGGTTGCCTTTGAAAACTATTTGGAAACTCCAACTGGACGGCAGCCAGGTTGCTCACCGGAGTGGCATACAGGGAGCATACAACCCCTTTTGCTGCGCCAGCTCCACTTGTTGCCAATCTGCTACCAAGCACAATTCAAAGTGTTGGCATTAGTCCATAAAGCCCTGAACGGTTCTGGCACAGCTTATCTGTCTGAACGTATCTCCTGCTATGAACCATTGTGAAGTCTAAGATCGATGGGAGAGGCCCTGCTCTCAGTCTCACCATCCTCGCAAATACGACTGGTGCCGATGAGAGACAGGGCCTTCTCAGTGGTGGCCCCTCACCTGTGGAACTCTCTACCCAGTGACATTAGATTGCCCTCTCCCTCTTATTTTTTAGAATAGTGATTCTCAACCTGTGGGTCCCCAGATGTTTTGGCCTTCAGCTGGTAAACTGGCTGGGATTTCTGGGAGTTGTAGGCCAAAACAACTTGGGACCCACAGGTTGAGAACCACTGCTTTAGAATGAAACTCAAAACCTGACTATGGGACCAAGTGTTCAAACAGTAGAGTCAGCAATTTAGAATGAGACCCAATTTGTGAGAATGGCAATGGACTGAACTGGACTATGATTTCAAACCTGTGTGATTTAAACAATGTTTTAGTATATTGTTGAAGGCTTTCATGGCTGGAATCACTCAGTTCTTGTGGGTTTTTTCGGGCTATATGGCCATGTTCTAGAGGCATTTCTCCTGACGTTTCGCCTGCATCTATGGCAAGCATCCTCAGAGGGGAGGTCTGCTGGAACTGGGAAAAAAGGGGTTTATATATCTGTGGAATGACCAGGGTGAGACAAAGGCTTTTGTAAGTTGGGCTAGGTGTGAATCTTAATCTTGAAAGATTCACACCTAGCCCAACTTACAAAAGCCCTTTGTCTCACCCTGGTCATTCCAAAGATATATAAACCCCTTTTTTCCCAGATCCAGCAGACCTCACCTCTGAGGATGCTTGCCATAGATGCAGGCGAAACGTCAGGAGAAATGCCTCTAGAACATGGCCATATAGCCCGAAAAAACCCACAAGAACTGAATGTTTTAGTAATTTTAAAGCATTAACGGATTGGTTTAATTGATTTTATCGTTTATTACTGTTGTTGGCATTGAATGCATGCCTGTTGTGAAGCTGCCTTATCATAGAATCAAAGAGTTGGAAGAGACCTCATGGGCCATCCAGTCCAACCCCATTCTGCCAAGAAGCAGGAATATTGCATTCAAATCACCGCTGGTGATTTGGGTGAGAAGGATGGGATACAAATATGCGAAATAAATAAATAAACACAGCTAGTCAAGTCATTCAAAAATCTTGCAGTTGTTTTTTGCATGAGATTTATGAGATGGTGCAAGATGGTTTATTAAAACATTTGTTCTCTCACTATTTTATTAGGGCTGGGCGGTTTCGTTTCGTTAATTCGTAATTCGTTAAAAATTCGTTATTTTTTTGTTAACGAAGCGATAACGAACCATTCTGAAGCAACTTAAAAACGAAACGAATTTTTCAATTCATTTCGTAAATGCTTCGTATTTCGTTATGTATTCGTTTCGTTATTGGTTTGAGGTCGTTTCGTTATTATTTCCGCATGTCTGGGGCAAGTTTTATTGTTTAATTAGTGAAAAAAATTATAATATCACACCAACAGTCAACAACAGAGGGAGAGGGAAGCTTCAGAAGTTTTTTTAGCATATTGCGCGATCGCGGCCGCCATTAACGAATCGATTCGTTATTGTTTCGTTATTGTTTTGTAATTTTTTTACCATTTACAAAATTTCGTAAATATCAAACTTTTTTTAAGGAAAATTTCGGAATTCTTTTAAATATCGAAACGCAAAAAACCCCAAAAAACGAATCGATTTTAGAAACAAATTTTTCCGTTGTTACCCAGGCCTATATTTTATACAAGACGCTCATGTAAACGACAGAACAGGTGCATTTATGAAGAGGTTCAGAAAATTACCTTCAGCCTCCAGAATCCATGCTTTCAGGAGTTCTGAGAGTTCTAATCAAATATAAATTTCCCGGGTTCATGAATAAATAGGGTCACTGAACCTACTCTGTTTCCATCATTGATTCAGTAGTACTCTTGCAGATATCTGCTGGACCAGGAAAATTAATTTCAGTGAAAGCTACATGGTCCTTGGTCAGTAGAAAATGATAAGATGGAATTTGTGGGATGTGGAGCAATAACGCATATCTCTCTTTCCTTCTCTCCCTCCTTCTGAATGTTTTCCAGTTGAAGATAACAGCCAGTCTCAAAAGAAGAAGATTACAGTGGAAGATCTGTTCTCTGATGACTTCAAAATCCATGACCCAGAGGCTAAATGGATAAGTGGTAAGTCTTGCAATCAGATGCGAATATAACTTCTGTCACCTCTTGTTATCATTTGTTTTCCAAACTCTCCCCTCTCCCCACTCACACTGCATTTCACTTTATTTTTATCTTGCAAGTTTTTGCAAATTGAAGCCACAGTACTTTCCGTTGAGCCAAAACTGCATTCCATCTAATCCAGTGCTGTCTGTTCATAACTGGGAGCTATTTTCTCTGGGATGAAGCAGATACCATTTCCCAGCTATCAATACTCAGCTATTGAAGGCGGGGTAGTCATTCATATTCATTCCATTCATATTCACGTACATACTTTCATTCCAAAGTGTATCTCAAGGCAATTCAAAATGTCATTTCTTTTCATGTCATTAGTATCGCCATGAAACCTAAACTTCTCTATACAGTTATATTGAAAAGCATAACAAATACAGGTATTTTAAAAACCCCAAAAATTCAGTGGATCTGGATCCATATTCTATATAGAACTATGATGTCTCCTATTTGTCTTTGGGCCATCTGCTCATTTACTCCTTTTCACCTAATGTCAAGGATGCCATTCTGGTCCTGAACTGGTACCTGTCATCAATAATGGACTGGATGAGGGCCAACAAGCTGAAACTAAATTCAGACAAGACAGTGGTACTCCTGCTCAGTTGTAAGGTGGATCAGGGTGTGGGATTACAGCCTATGTTGGATGTGGTCACACTCGCCCTGAAGACACAGGTCCACAGTCTAGGGGTGATCCTGGACTCATCGCTGACCCTGAAACCCAGGAGTCAGCGGTGGCCGGGACTGCCTTCGCACAGTTAAAACTTGTACCTTGAGACACCTGACTTGGCCATGGTAGTCCACACCTTAGTAACATCCCATTTGGACCACTGCAATGCTCTCTATTTGGGGTTGCCTTTGAAGATAGTTTGGAAGCTTCAACTGGTTCAGAGATCGGCATCCAGGTTACTAACAGGAGTGCCATTCAGAGAAATAACCACTCCTATGCTGCGGCAGCTCCATTGGCTCCAGGTCTGCTTCCGGGCTAAATACAAAGTGCTGGTCATCACATTTAAAGTCCTAATCAGCTTGGGTCCAGACTGTTTGACAACCTCATCTCCCACTATAGACCAACTGGGACACTGGGAGGTCCTCCTCTCAGTCCCACTCCCATCTCAAGCACAGCTGGTGCAAATGAGAGAAAGGGCCTTCTCCGTGGTTGCCCCCCACCTCTGGAACTCCCTTCCTAAGGCGTCAAAGATGGCCCCTCCCTCCCCACTTTCAAGAAACAGTAGAAACCTTTGCTCACTGGCTTACAAGGAGCAGGACGAGGAGTTGGTAATACTACCATTATACCTCTGATTAATAGCTACCATCTGTATCTCTGCCCTGTTTGCCCCAACAGTTCAATAGATACCTTGAGCAATGATCAATCTATTTGCCCCCAAGGAACTGGGAAACTGATACTTCTGTTCAATGTTTGATGTTTTGTCCTATGTCTGATATACCAGCTGCGCTTTTTAAATTTAATTTTACTTGTTAAGTCATAATTTGTGTTTATATGTTAGATTGCTAAATTTCATTACTATGAATGTATAAAAAATAGATCAATTTAAATACACTATCACTGAATTTCCCTGGAAGGGCAAATTTTCCGAATTAAGGGCAGAAGATATTATAGACAGAAGTTGGTAACTCAAAAGCCAGTATGGAGAAGAATGCATTCTCTTTTTCCTCAAGCAGAGTGGTGACACTGAGGCCTAAAAACTGGCAAACTCTCCATTTTATGTAGGAGCTTTCTTGTGTTCTTAGTAGCCTATCTTGATCTATTAATTTCTTTAAATTATAGCAGAATTACTGAATGGAGGATTTACAGTCATGAGAAACTAACATAGCAGCCACATAACTCAGTCTGTCAATCCACAAGATTTTGGCTGCATTTCAACATTGTTGTATCGAAGAACCTTGTAGAGCTGTTCTCTATTAAGATCCCCAGAACTTGCTTGTCTTGATAGTCAGACTGCAGAATATTGCAGAATATTGCCATAGTGCCCTGGAAAGAAAACATTGTGAAGAAGTATGGGAAAATAGCTCACAAGATAAAGTCATTTTATGCAAAGTTCTGCCTTTGATTGTAAATCTAGTTAGACCTGATATGCCTTTTGCTTTTTATTGGGGTCCTGATCTTATGTAAAGCAGAAAGGGCAATTCCCACTTTACAGTTTGTATTCTGGAACAGATACGCCATTATAAAATGTGTAAGTGCATGGATATAAAATCCAGCCCACATTCCTTCAGGTGAAGAGAAAACTTGTACTCAGGTATTTTAAAGTTATCCATATCTGTTTTGATCCATGTTTTCTTATACAGGTATCTTGTTAGTTAATGTTTGTCTAGTAGTGGACGAATAAGGTGAAACAAATGACCAGACTGTAAACTAACTGTCCTCTTGCAACTCTAGACTGAGAGCAGTGCAGATAGATGTCTCAGTCATCATAGGCATACAGATAATAACAACTCCTACTCCTACTCCTACTTTATTCTTGCATCCCGCCACCATCTCCCCAAAGGGACTTGGGGTGGCTCACACACAGCACAAGGTGCCTAAAAACAAAACATCAAATAAAAAATACAATTAAATAAAACATATAAGCATGAAACAACAACTTACACTCAATTAAAAACAGCAGAATTGTACCCCTAAACAAAGACGTGTTAAATATTATATAAGACTGTAGCAGAGCAGGTGTTAGTAGTTATTTGAAACTATGGTTCTTAGTGATTGGTTTGTAGACATTTGTGTACAAGGGGGTACCAGAAACAGCAGCTCACTATGAGTGGGACAGTTTTGTTTTGCAATGAACAGTTGACATTTTGGAGTTTCATGGGGCATCTCTGCAGGGACAATCCATATTAGATTCAGTGAGACCTACTCCCAAGAAGTGTGCAGGGGATTTCTGCCTCAACTGTGTCCATTGCTGTTCAGCAGACTTGGGGATTCAACTTCTTTACATGTTCAAGGACTTGCTGATACTCCAGGAAGATGTAGAGTAGACCCAGCAGTCATTTAGTGCCAAGTTCTTGTTTCTACAGATGTTACATTTGGACTAGGGTGACTTTCAGCCATCTTCCGTTGGACAGCTCCTTAGTATCTTTGGCTTCTGAACAAGGAGAGAGGTGGGATAACTATCTATTTATACACATAATAAAAGTGAAAAATGTGTATGTGTGTATGTGACGGAGGTGTCCAGTTACACAGACAGATTCCCACCTCCACAAATAGGTGATAGTCCAAGTACCGAGAAGCCTCCCAAGGCACTCCCTCCACTGACATTGCAGGTTAAAGTGAGTGCCATGAACATGTAGCCCAAATGCTGCCCATGTCTTCCCCAAACACTATGGGGAGAATTTCATCCTACATTTGGCATGTTTCCTCCACCACAGGAAGGCATCTGATGGTTCCTTTTGTGGAATTTGCAAGACCTTGCCCACTGCCCCACTCTTAACCCTTCCCTACCCTTTCCTATGGCACACAGCAAACAGAGAGGAATTGATCAGCAATTGAACAGGCATACTGACCTAACATGGCCACATACTGGCAGAATTTGGGGGTAATTGCCCTTGGCATATGGTAGTTATAGTTCACCCTTATCCAGAGAGTACTGAACCCAGCCGATGATAGATCTGGACCAAACTTGGTGCACACACACCCAACATGACCAACTGTACATACAGGCCTAGTTTGGGGAGGATTGACTCACAATCCTGGGAATTGTAGTTCACCCACATCGTTATGTATTTTCGAATGGGAGCATTCATAAAAAAAATCAAAGACTGGCTTTTTCGTAATAAACAGTGTTACTAAATAAATCATTAACTACTAATTAATTCATAAATGATATTACCTAACACCCAGGCCTGTAGCCGGAGGGGGGGGGTAGGGGTTCAACCCCTCCCCCCCACATTTTTCAGGTTTTTTGGCTATTTTTGGCCTTACTAACCTTGCATACCTTGTATCTTATACCTTTTATGGAGCAATAAGGGTCTTTGGACTGTATTAAAAATGTTGTTGTGTTATCGAACTACTCTTCATGATTTGCAAAAAAAGGTTTCAACCCCCCCTCCCCCTGAAATTTCTTTCTGGCTACGGCCCTGCTAACACCCCAAAATAAACAATGCCTTCTTCAAATAACTCAGGCACCACCAGGTACCGAAGCTAGTAACTAAATGGAATAGAGCACCTTGATCAGTAACGTTGACTGGAAGGCTTAACCACACAAAGTGTTGATGAGAATAAGGCAGATCCAGGAACTTGTAGAAAGGACAAGAGAAACCTCTGGAAGCAGTTTTGAGAATAAAATATATAGGGTCAGCATTCACTTTGTGCTTGCTCTTTCTCTGGTCTTGATTACAGCCTCGAGTGGCCACTTTTCATTATGAAAGGGCAGGACAATTTCACACAAAGCTTCATATAAAGGTATAATTTTGCTCTTGTGTTCTTTTGGGGAGAAGAAAAAGGAGCAGTGCATCCAGTGGGGTTAGTGGGAAGAAACTCATTGACTGGGATTTGGTTCAGGTTGAGAAGATTGAAGGTTGATCGGGCACTGAAAAAGATCTATGGCAAACTGTCACTAGGAAAGTCATTAAATAAATGTCAAGCGGCTCTTTGAACTGAATGGCTTGGCCTTTTGCTTCTGCTTCATATTGTGAGGTTTCAGATTCTGGTTCCAGTTACATTTGACACAAATGCTCAGAGAGGGTCTCCATGGTGTAGGACTGCATTCTGTCCAATTTATGAGCCCTGTGTTACAAAGAGAGGGGCCCCTGCTGAAAAATATTAAAATGCCATCATTTTCATCAGAGGTCATCAGAACAATTCAGCAGACTTAATTAGTTCTTGCCTCACCCCGTGGGGCAAGCAAATAATATTGCACTCATTTTACAGCTGGGTAAACAACAAAACAGAGTGATGAATCTTTAAGGTCATCCGAAAGACAGTAGATGGTATGGGAATACAA